TGGCGGGTCCACTAAAACTATCATGTTAATGATCACCTCTGATAGTCTACCTTCCTCCAAATTCTCCCATCAATCATCTTCAAGTAGGATGGCGGGTCTACCAAAACTATCATGTTAATGATTACCTCTGATAGTCCATCAATCTGCCAATCATCTTCAATAGGATGTCGGGTCTACCAAAACTATCACGTTAACCGTCACCTCTGATAGTCTAGTTCCTCCAAATTCCCCCACCAATCCTCTTCAAGTAGGATGGCGGGTCCACCAAAACTATCACGTTAACAGTTACCTCTGATAGTCAAACTCATCAGATAATGGCCTACCAGGTGATGTGCCTCTATTCCGACTTCATGGATAGTGCCCCACTAGGTGATGTGCCTTGTCTACCTCTTTTTATTCCCCTGCTAAGTCTTAATCAAGACTGGGGGTTGGTTACTTTGGATCCACTGGATTAAGAGTAACGAATTTTTCACATCGTCGAGTTAACATTACACTTCTGACGATCATCATCCCCACAGAGTATGCATTCAACTCGCATTACTCCTAATTTGTCACGTTAACAATATACACCTCTGACAATCAACTTATCAATCCTTACCAATAGGATGATAGGTCCTCAAAATTGCGCAAATCACAATCTTCCCCAGCAAGACGCTAAGTCTTCAAAATCTTATTCAAATCACAGGTATCAAAACTCATTGTTCCTGATGATAAACTCACCTAGCAAGTCTCCCCAGCGAGACGCTAATTCCCAAAATCTTGTGCAAATCACAAGAACACATTCTTGTCACGTTAACAATATACCTCTGACAACAATCAACTTATCAATCCTCACAAATCTTGTCATGTTAACACCATACCTCTGACAATCCACTTATCAATCCTCGTCAATAGGATGATAAGTCCACAAAGTTGCTCCAATCGCAACACATTCCTGTCACGTTAACAATATACCTCTGACAACAACCCACTTATCAATCCTCTCCAATAGGATGATAAGTCCACGCATGGGGAATTTTATCCTGAATCCTAAGTAAGGATAAGTCAATGTCTAACACATGTTGCCGGGTAGCCTATTCCCGTAATAATAGCAAAGCCTACGTATTCAATATCGTAGTAGGTCGTTATTAATAACGCCAAAATCCATGCCTTACACGTATGGGGAATTTTATCCTGAATCCTAAGTAAGGATAAGTCAATGTCTAACACATGTTGCCGGGTAGCCTATTCCCGTAATAATAGCAAAGCCTACGTATTCAATATCGTAGCAGGTCGTTATTAATAACGCCAAAATCCATGCCTTACACGTATGGGGAATTTTATCCTGAATCCTAAGTAGGGATAAGTCAATGTCTAACACACGTTGCCGGTTAGTCTTTTACCGTGAAAAGGACATCAAAATCCATGCCTCACACGCATGGGGGACTTTATCTCGATCCCTAATTAGAGATAAGTCTGCATCTAACACATGTTGCCGGGTAGCTTATTCCCGTAATAATAGCAAAGCCTACGTATTCAATATCGTAGCAGGTCGTTATTAATAACGCCGAAATCCATGCCTTACACGCATGGGGAATTTTATCCTGAATCCTAAGTAGGGATAAGTCAATGTCTAACACACTCGGTGTTTCAAGCCACACAGGAAGAAAGGACATCAAAATCCATGCCTCACACGCATGGGGGACTTTATCTCGATCCTTAATTAGAGATAAGTCTACGCCTAACACGCGTTGCCGGTTAATCTTTCGCCGTGAAAATGACAAAGTCTATGTATTCAAAATCATAGAATCAAGACTAAGAGAGTTCATTCTCTTAGCACAACGTTACATGTGGAACGGACCTAGATAATTCACATGCTAGCCCGACTCAAACGGTAATCCTAGTGATAATAAAGAAAGTTTCTGAATTTCACTCTAAGTGAAAATTCACGCCAAGTTAATACTACACCTCTGGCACTTCTAATTTTCTTTCAGTGTTTCAAGTGAAAATATAACACAGGAAGAAAAAAATGACAAAGTCTATGTATTCAAAATCATAGCATCAAGTCTAAGAGGGTTCATTCTCTTAGCACAACGTTACATGTGGAACGGACTTAGACAATCCACATGCTAGCCCGACTCAAACGGTAGTCGGTAAAGGCTTATCAAATCCGTTGATGGCTGAGGGTTTGCCAAAAATCCTATGCACGTTTGCAGGTCCATCAGCTTAATGGATGTGAGCCGAGACTTAAAACAGAGGAGCCAAAGACAAGTCTCAAAGACTTAGTCAAAAATGCACGGAAGCCACTTCCATGTCTTAAGTCAAAACGTTGAGGTCAGACCCGCGATGCAAAAACCAAACGCCGAGGTCACACCTGTGTTTCAAATTCAACATGTAAGGGTGAGACCCGCATCTCAAGTTCAAAATGCAGGATCCACCCCCACATTCGAGAAGCAGGATTATGGCGCATACCTTCACACAGGTCCTACGTGGCAAATCCCTTCAACCAAGATGCCTTCGAAGCAAGTGCAGAGAACAAATCCTTTACCACAAGGAATCAACAGCTCCAAGATCAGAGTTGAGATCCAAAGTATTCCGAAAATTCGTCCCAGTCAACCGCGAACTTTCGAAAACTTTGGAGGGGGTTCTGTAGGCTGTCTAAAAATCACAATAGATAGCTGATCCCCATCAAACACCGATGATGGAAGTTACAATCTGACGACTTCCAGAAGGCTACAATTTGAAGACTTTCACGTAGATCGCTGAAGGTTACAATCTGACGACCTTCACGACAACTGATGGAAGCTCTAATCAAACAGCCTTCATAATCAACATCGGGAGTTACAATCTGACGACTCTCATATTCTCAAGGAGCCAAGACGAAGATTACAAGACAATGATCTTTGCAACGCTATGACAAAAAGAGATTACTTGGTGATAATCTCTGCAAGGCAAGACGCGGAGGTCCTCCCCGTATTTCAACATCAAAAAACTGCGCCGCATTCATAGCCACGAACGCAGCTCAAATCAACAGCTGAACGCAGCTTCAGCCGCTGAACGCATCTCTAATCGCTGCCAAACGCAGTTCAAATCGCTGCCAAACGCAGCTCTAATCGCTGTCAAACACAGCTTCCAACAAGATGCCAACGCAGCTTCCAGACACTGCGTTCAAGCTTCCAGACACTGCGTTCAAGCTTCCAGACACCGCGTTTGAACGCAGAATTTACACCGGAACGCGGATTTTGCGGTTGATTCGTTCAAACACGAGCTGAACAGTTTCAAAACCGTTTCCCACGATCTGAGGGGATCACAACTCCACTCAGGAGTGATTTAAGGGGCGGTTACATCCTATTAGCCTTACTTAGGAGCGAATTAAGGAGGTGGTTACACCCCTTAATCCCCTATAAATAACAACAAACTCAACAGAGTTAAGGATCGGATTTTTGATAATCAGATCAGGGCTGGATCTTTCGGGCGGTCTGTTGGAAATTCTTGGCAGCGAAAAGAGGATTCTTCATCCTTCGGTTAGAGCTTTGGAGATCGGCAATAAGATCTTCTTCATCCTTGGCTTATAACCGACTTTCGGTTAAATCAACTCTTTCGTAGAGTTTTAAACTCGTTCAGAGTTCTCCACAACGTCAAATCGTGAGGAGAAGATCATGTTCCAGTGAAACAAGACGTCGGATCGTCAACGAGAAGCAAACTCGACGCGAGCATTCGAGGGAGGCATCTCATCGCTACCGTGAAGAACCCAGAATTAAACAAAGGGGAGAATCCAGATCATTCTCTTCTCTTTTGTAATCAGGAATTCAAATTGTAATCGAGAGTAGAGAGAGAGTTGTAATCATTCTTTTTCTAAACAGTTAGAGAGAATAAAGTCAAACGCAATTCTTTCATTCATTTTCTTGTTACAAAATTTTCAACAAACAACCCTCATTATGTTTTGTTGGCCAGGGCTGAAGTCTTTGCTATATACACGGGACTATTAGTCCTATTTATATTATAAGAATTAGATTGACCTTAATTACGGACCACTAATTACATGAGACTACTACTCCCATGTATTTTAAAAATAATATTTTATAAAATCAACCTTTTTTTGATGAGCCTTGATGACATAGGCAAAAAGGTTGATTTTGCTAACTATTTAGAAAAACGGTCAATTTTGATAATTATTTTTAAAGAGCGATCTTTTTTTAATAAAATTCTCTTTTATATATTGGTCCCTTAAATCTTTCATGTATTTAATTTAGTTTCCAAATTCACCAACATTACTATTTTTAGGACTCTAATTGTATGAATTACTCCAAATTAGTCCCCAGGATAGATTATCTTGCAAATTATTAGAGTGTGTTGGGCAATAATCTAAAAACTAGTCCAGGTTTAATCTCAGCCCGATTATGCATAACCACTAACCCATTTAGAGTTAGATCGAGGGACTGCCGATCCAACACTAGACTACATTTATATCCTTTTTGTCGAGGGAATAAATGATTTGTGAGCAAAATGGTAATTTACTATTGTTGGGCTATCACTAACCTAACCGTAGCTAATCAGATTAATTTGAGTAACTTGCGGTATGACTTGGACAATAACAAAATGGGGAGGCTTCAAGGGACCGACCAACGTTTTGAAGAAGGGTGGTACTGCAGGGACTCAAAACACATGGGACCCTACACAGAACAGGTGAGCCGACAACTCACCTGTCACATATAGGGTCTCATGTTTTTTAGTTCTTTAAATAACACTAAAAATTATTGCAAAACATTATTAATATTTTCAACCCAAATTCACAAATCCATCTCCAGTGGGTCCCGTTACCGCACCAAAGCAAAAGCAAAAGCATAAGCATAATAAGGCGAAACGTAATAAAGTTCAAAAGCTCCCCTCTTCTCGCTGTCCTACGCATGACGTATATTTCTTGCTTCGATTCCCCTATAATTAAATTAATCCAGAGCAAATCGAATCTTTTCACCTCACCATTCCAGTAGTGAAAGCCAGCGGTCCCCACAAACGCTCACACTAATTTAATCCCCCCCGCAGAAAAAGGGCAGAAAAAAAAAAACAAAAAATCAGTCAAAACCCCAGGAAAACAAATGGATTCCCATCACCGCCCCCCTCCGGTCACCGGATCCACGGTCCAGTCGCCGCCTCCCTCCGCGGGGAACGGGACCCCGCTGGTGCCT